ACCAGCTCAAGGAGGTTGAGCAATGCCATAAGAGTGAGCTACGACACAGAAGACAGGCTTTAGCAAGTGTCACCTCAAGCCCCGGGTCCTGCCCCAGGGTCTGCCACCACAGTGAGCCATGCCTCATGTCAGAGGGGGACAGCAAGGAGATGCTCATGAGGGATTTGCACCGTGGAGCCTGCAGGTTGGCTGCTCTCCACTCACTCAAGCCAGCTGGGCACCAAAAGTCCTCCTCAGCCCTCCTTACCAAGCCTGGGACCATGCTGCCTGGAGAGGAGAACCAGGCACCTGCCCTCCCACCTTCTCACTAGCAGGCCACCACCAAATCTGAGCGACAAGAGTCATGAAGGGGCCCAGCTTACCTAACTTAGGACACTTTCCTGCTCAATCCTTTAGAAATGATCTCCAGATCACCATTGTGTCCCACCAGGAAAGGGATCTGAAGTCTTACCTCTCTAGTGTCGCCATCAAGAGATAAAGCACCAAGATTCAAAATGAGATGTGGGCTTTATCAGTAATTTCAGTCTCCTGAAGGATCCACACTACAGTAATTCTCAGGCTGAATGTTAGCTGTGAATACAAACAACCCAGCATCTTCTAACACTCCCTAAGAGGTCTCCACGTCTTAGGCCAAGCAATGCTGTACATCCTGAGCACATGCACATTGGCAACAGCACTGGGCAGCCCAGCCCAAGGGCTGCAGGGTGACCCAGATCCTCACATGGTCATTTGCTTTCATAATTGCAGGAAATTGTAATTCAGGCTGTGTGCAGAGGGAAGCGTCCATGCCCTGCAGGAGTGCTGATAGAGCTTCAAGGATCTCAGAAAGAGCCAGCAGGGCCACGACCCAGGGAGCAGCACGAGAGGATGAGCCAGGAGCTTGGAGGGGCCCAGCACTGGCCATGCCCTCCCCAACAGGGTAGAGTCCCCCAGGGTCTCAGCATGGCTGGTAGAGCAGCCAAGGGTGGGACAGGGTCCATCAAGAGCCCCATATAGAACAAGAGAATGGACCGCAACCAGGGTCGCTCCAGGGAGCCCAGTCTGGAGCAGGAGAAGAGGCTGGAGATGACGCTACGAGGCAGGTTCAAGGTCCATGCAGCAGCCAGGGCTGGAGATAAGGACATATCTAACGCAGTTCAGGCAGGAAAAGGGGACCCAGGATTAATCTTAAAGGAGGTCTTGGGCCGTGGGCAGAGGAGGTGCGTGGGTGGGGGTCCCAGGTACGGTAAAAAAAGCCAAGGGCAACTTGTGCTGCATTTCTCAACACTGTCTGGGCTCTTCAGTTCTCATGGTAAAGCTGCTTTTTATCACAGACTCTGACACATGTAAGACGCCCTTCAAAAGAGTCAGACAGGCTGAATGCTGCCCGCCTGGTCAGGTGGGATCCATGCTTCTGCTCATTCACACTAACAAGGATACAGCCCTGTCACCTTCAGCTGAGCATGCTGTAGTTGTGGCATGCTGGTGATGTCCACAGGCTCCAAAAACATGATGGCTTTCACAGCTCTCTGTCTCAGCTGTGCTTTGCAGAGCTGGGAGCTACAAGTCCATATGAGCATGGGTCTGGAGGTGCAGGTACTGCTAAAGAGAGCTACTCTTCTCAACTAGTTGGCCCTAAATCTCTCCCTGAGTCCAGGAGCCAGGAAAAAGCTTCGAGTTCCTGAGCTGTAGCAGCAGCAACACTCTGACCCCACTAAGTTTAAGGAAGCATGACCCCAGAATTGACCCGCCCAATGCAAGCAAAGTGTAACAAGAGACAACACGAAATAAGCACTTCCCTGGTCACTCATTCACGGCTGTCATGGACATGTGAAAAAGTCAGGCAGCAAATCCAGTTAAAAATGAGGGCTCAGTGTCCAGCCGAGCAAGCTACCGCCAGCCAGCCAAGCAGGAAGACCTGCCAAGCAAAATGCTCTTGGCAGGGGAACTTCCACTACCGCTCTTATCCTGTTGCAAATGCACAGTAACACAGCCCACTGTGGAAGGTGCCTAGATTAGGTCAGGCTTTTTCGACATCTGCTCCAAGTGGAGAGCACGTAGGGACAATCACCAAGGCCGATACTCAGCAGCTTGTGAGGATGGGGTAATCTGTACCATTCGTTCCTGCCCTTAGTCATTGGCATTTCAACATGAAAACGCAATACCGTTGAATCCAGGAGCTCGTAATGCTCAACTCCCATATTCTCTGGCACAGCCACTCTTTTTTCCCACATGCTGTTCAGAGCTTCTGGCTAAGACATCTCAAGTGGTGGAAATGCCTGGTTACGTCCATCTGCATCCTCGTTTCTTGCCTAGTCTCCTTACTAAGGAGATCAGTGCAATTACCCGCCCAGGCCATGATAAAGGGAAACATAGGCAAACCCACCAAAAGCATGATGGAGCTCCATCACTGCTGACTAGTGCTTGTATAGACTGGAAAATGGGGATTAAGCATGTACGAACAAAGGGAGTAGTTAGAAAAACGGCAAATGAGGGCACCTGAGCAGCTTGGCACCAGGATTTCCTCTGTCAGCAAGGTTACTGACCCAGTGATACGGCAGACGGACACCTGCACAGTCACTGACCTGGCTGGCAAGAGAAATGGGTCATCTCAGTGCACGGCACTCAGAGGGAATGAGGAAATGATGGGGAATGAAGCAAGAGGAATAGTTCCTATTGTATCTGAGCACACCCTGGATGGAGATCCTTGGTGTGAAGCAACCAGCTCATTCCCCTGACAACACGAATCAAGATATGGCCTTGAGCTCACCACAAGATCATCAAACCCTGGCAATGATGGGAAGTGGCATTTTCCTGGGTAGAAAGAGCAACCCGCAGAAGATGCACTCCTAGAGAGCTGTATTTCCCACTAGAAGCTTGTTTTCTGGTTACTCTCTTTTTTTGCTCCCCTTCATTAGATCGGAGCCCCTCCGTGCGCAAAGAGATGGCTGTTAGCTCTTGTCAAGAGATCATTTTTTAGGCAAACAATGACAGTATCCTTACACTTCTTACCTCCAGCTGCTTTCTCCAGCCATCAGATCACTTCTGTAGCTCTTCTCTGCATCCCTCCCACCTTACTTTCAAAACAGGACCACCAGATCTGTACACAGGACTCCTGCGTTTGAGGATTAACATAGGGCATGACAGAACACTGGACTCACTTTATCCCTGTGTGAGATTTACACCAAAAGCAGTATGTTTACTTCAAATCATGGAAAAGCAAAGACACAAGATAAGGCAAGAAATGCACCACTAGGACTATGCAAAATAAGAAGCCTCCCTGTTGTTCACCTCAGCACCTTTACCCACTCCCAAGGCTTCTCTTGACCTGGCACGTTCCCCTGTTACCTGAAGATGAAATTTCTTTCAAGGACATCCTGCTCCTTCCTTCCAGTCTTCCCCCGGGAGTAAAAACCAAAAAGACCCATCCTATGCACGATCCCAAGCTCCAGTCTCACTTGCCTTCTGCTCAGCGAAGCTTCCTTGTCTCTTTTGCTTGGGTTCTGGGACATCACAAGACATTGAAAAGCTGCATTTTTTTTCCTAGGTCTGGAGCTGTCTTTCCCTGTGATGCTCACATCAGCCCCAAACATGGTGCCATACTTACTGAAACTAGCAACAATGCTCTTGACTGAGTGAAAGAACCCACCAGGTTTGTACATGCACTTGGATTTAGAGGGTTGCTTCTAGGGAACGTTCACACTCGCAGAACAAAGCCAGGTTTTGTGGACAATATCCACTTGCTATAAAACTACACTGGCTGATAACGTTTCTTTCTTTCTTACCAGTTATCCACTTAACACCAATTACTAACTTTCCGCTTGTTTTTGCACTATAGGTTGTCCTCAGGCTAAACAGGTTATGGGTATCAGGGTCATCTGTCCTTTCCCTGCAACACAAATTCATCACAGCTTCACAGAAAACACCTCAGCCAGTTCTTTAAAGAGCTTTTGGGTGCTGATCCTCTCTGCCTGAAGATTTAAAGGATGCCCAGATCAGACATCACTCAAACCCCCTGCAACAGCATAGCCAGAGCATAGTTCAGTCTCCACCTGAGACAGGATTGTGACTGATCTGCTCCAGGCGTTTCTGCACCCATCTCTGCTTGTAAATGGAAGCTGTCATGGGTGAGGCACACACGTCAAAGCAGCTGTTCCTCCAGCTCCACCAGTCATAGTTCAGGTTATACACGAAGTGAGCCATGGTTCTGCTTGGACCAGAAGGAAAGCCCTGGGGCTTTCCGCTTACAAAAAGGTAGGGATACCACCTGTAAAGACCAGATGCCATAGGAAACAAGGGCTCCTAGAACACCCCAAAGGCAGTGCAGGAAGACACTAGAACAGTTGATTCTTACACAGTACAGCTGCATAAAGATATGCAGCCTAACAGAACAGTAGAGCAGCTAAGACCTGAAATGATCACAGCCATAGTACGAGCTTTGACTAATATTCCCAAGATCAAGTGCGGCATACTGTAGAGTTTCCAAAAGCAGTGTTTCTTCAGTGAAAATAGCTAAGGACTTCCATCTTTCACTCAAAACCAGAGGCCAGGTTAAGGGACAAGGAGGCATAGTTTATCTCCCCTGTGATCAGGACCCCACATTCCTTCTCACTCCATTCTTTGGGCACAATAGACTGAGTGAAGCACCCTCCCCCACCTCCAAGACCACAGAAGCTCAAAGAAAACCACACATCACAGCAATTAAGCTCCTATGTTTACAGAAGTCACTTAACAGGAATACCAAGGATGCTTTTTTTAATTAGAAATCTGATGTTGGAGTTACTTTATTGGGAAAACTGTAGGAAGACCAAAACAGCTGCTCTAAAGTGTAATTACAAAGAAGAAACATGAAGTTGAGATCACACTGTGCTTTAAAAGAAAGTTACATAGTTTAACTTGCATAGCACAAGCATACATAAGTAGTTAACAGGCATTGATAAAGCCCATCCCAATTTGTGTTATTGCTTTTTTTTTCTTTTAAATCTGAGCAACTGGTTGGCGGTCTCTGCTGGTAGGTAGGCTTATTGGCACCTATGCTCCAGTAGTTCAATTTTGTTTAGCCAAGGAACACTGTACACTACGAAGTTGCAAATGGCATGCTAAGGAGAGAAAAAAAAAAGCAGTTATCAGATTAAGAGCATAAAAAAATGTCATTGACATTGTTCTATCCAATTCACTGCCCCACAGAGTCCAAATTTATGCCACTTCTACAGTTCTCTTGATTTGCACTCTACTGACAAGTATTCTGGAACATCACTCTTGTTAGTACCTGCTCAGGATGAATCATTTCTCTCAGAGAAACACTAATCGAAAAGCTGAGCAGTCAGCACTGATGAAGATCAGGTTACCTCCTTTACCCACTCACACACAGGAAAGCTTTCACCATGGGTGATACTCCAACATAAGCTCTCAAGCACAGGTAAGCACACCTGCACAGCTAATCTGTACGTGCGTCAAAACACTGCAGCCATTGGAATGGTACACACAAGCTGCTAGCTAGGTGCTTAATGAATCACTTGTGTGGAGTTACAGTTCTCATACATGCAGGCAGAAAGGGCATGTACATAGAGAAGCTAAGCCTGTCACTGTGATTAATACAAGTACTGTGGAAGGCCTAGACTCAGGTCAGACCAAGGCAGGTGTATTTGGTGCTCTCCTCTGAAAAGCTGAAGGAGTCCTTAAAGAGCATTGCTATTAGACAAAACTCCCATGTAACAGCTTGGTGGGCACAGAGAAGAGGGGTAATCTGCCTTCTGTGATCAGTGTTTAGTCCAAAGCACTATTCAGAGTAAGTCCCCTAGGAAAGCATGTCAAATCAAGCATGTTTACCTCACTGTGGGACAAGAGGAGCAAAGAATAGTATGGGGACTCAGGACACTGGACTGAGAGCCACCAGACCTGTAGGCTTGGCAGAGTGTCCTCTACATATCCTTGCGATCCAGAGCACGCTTTAAGAAGATTAAGGCACATACAGTCCACCATGTACTACAGCCTCAGATCCCCACTTACAAAACAGGCTAAAAAGCCCTGCCTTCTGTGTCACCATCATCTGGCAAGGCAAGTTCTGCAAGGGCAGTATCTTGTTAAGTGTAAAGGCATGAGGCTCTGATCTTAGCTGGGGCAGACACCTCATACCTCTTTGTACTATGACAGTCAGAGGGAAGGGGTTTGAAACTCAGGGGCCAGCAAGCTATGCCTGAAGCCTACCTTAGCCATCTGCGGCGCATCAGGGAAAGCACAGCTCTGGAGATCAGTTGCTGGCTTTTGGCAAGTTGTCCGAGCAATCTCAACTTTCATTATGTACTTGATCCCAGCCACAACCTGTAACAAGACAAACAGGCAGAAGCAGCTTTATTCGCAGCACATACAGAAGGGCTCTGACAAGAGAAGCTTAGCAGAAAGACAGACAGTTTTCTGGTTACATGATGGAAAACAAACTCCAAAAGTACAGAGGGGATTGCGTGTGGCAACCTCCGCAGAAGAGGCACTTGGCACCCTGTCAAAAAACAGGAAACAAAATCCAAGTAAACAAGCCTCCCAGCACAGCTTCCTCAGTTAGCAAGCAGAGACATGCGTTAACTCAGCAGCAGCATTAGTTACCAGCTCCTTCGGTAACACACAGCGCTCAAGGGCATTCAGGCTGACAAGACCCAAGCTATGAAAAAGGGCTTTTATTCACCTTCTGTGAAAAAAAAAAAAAACAACTTGAAGAACTCCTCAAGCTTGAGGCTTGCTCCCTCTCCAAAGAAATCCCACAGGCCTCACTTTCAGCTGTTGCCTAGAGGGTGTCAGGGACCCTAACACACCCCCCAACCCGTCCCGAGGTCCCCCCAGCCACTGTGGCACCCACCTGCCGCTTGGCGCTAATGATCCGCACCACCCGGCTGGAGTACATGTCGTTGCTGGCCTTGTTGTACTCCGCCATGGCGAACTGCAGGGCCCGCTGCAGGCCCTCGTCGTTGTCGAGGTTGGAGATGGTCTCCGGGGCCCCCACGAGCCGCGGGCGGTCCGCGCTGCCCAGCACGGCGCCAGCGAGCGCCAGGGCCGCAACCAGCAGCGCCAAGCACACCCTCCCGTCCGCCATGACTGCCCGCTCTGCCACCCCTCCGCCAGCCGCCGCCATTTTAAGGCCGGCGGGGCGGGGCGGACGGGGGCGGTGCCTCGGCCCCAAACACACCGCCCCGTCCCGCCTCCTCCACGCCGTGGCGGATTTCCCGCACAGGTCTGCGAAGTTAGGAGGCTTCCCGGGCTCTGCCTCCTCATGGGTTATTCTAGCACGTATTTCCCTCTACTGCGGAGGGAAAATAAAAACCGCAGCACATTTTAAGCGACAAACGTGGCTCCCAGCACAAAACACCGTGTGTCATTTCCTATGTCTGCCCTCACAGCGTTGGTGTTACCTCACCTACACTAATTGCTCCGCTGAAGGTCGGAGGGGCCACCTGTGGCGGTGTGGCTTCCCAGCCAGACCACTCAACTTCCAGTCTCGTCTCATAACCACACGCCGATCTCCCCTATCCCGTCAGGAATCCTAAATTTGGAAAGACAGGACCTAATATAGCATGAGGGAGCTAGCTCAAGTGAGACCGAGCACCTTGTGGAGTTTTTGGGTTAAGGGAGGACAACGTTTTGCACCCAAGCATCAGCAGCACGCCTTCTAACGAAAAGGACTGCCTGGAAAGGCTGCCTGCATGCCAGCAATATCCAGCATGAGAGTTATCACTGGAAAAATCCCCATGGTTGGCATCAAGCTGTGCAATTAATTCAACAGTGACAGGGCTAGTCTTCACAGCTAGATAAAGGCACAAGAACCACCCAAAGCACCAGAGAGCGGACTGGGACATGGGGACGGGGACTTGAGCCCAGGCTGCTGGTGGCTGCAGGAGTCTGTCTCCATTTATCTCTTCCCTAATTGGCCTTGGATCCAGACCAATTCAGTTTAAAATCCAAGGTTAGAGCTCACCTAAGTGCCTTTAGAGGTGAAGGCTTTCCTTTGCGCTGCCAGTGACTGCTGCCAACCGGAGCAGCCAGCTCTGGCCCAAATCAGCCACTGCACCTGCAACGTACCTGCCAGGTCTCTTCCCACCACCCTGTGCTGACCATGCCAGCTCAGGCCACCACTGAGAAGTGCCCCAGCTCCCAGCCACTGGAGATGCTCACCAGCCTCATGCAGCCCATGCAGGGATCTGTGCATGTACAAGGGAAACACCGCAAGAGGGAAAACCAGTGCCTTTGGGATTCAGGGAGCTTTGATCTTGCAGGCAAACAAGCAAGCAAAGTCTTATCTCTGCTTAGGTCACCTCCTTGGAGGTGATTCACCTCACTCTCACTGGCAGACAGTACATCAGCCCTCGGTACAGTCCTGGTGTTCTTATGGTTATTTGTGCAAACAGACACGGCACGAGGTACAGGACAACACGGCTGCATGCCCTCTCACCTCTTCTTCAACACCACAGCATTTCCATTCAGCTGGCCCTGTTCTGCCTCAGAAACCCAGGGTTTCCGTTTCTTCTCACATGCCATTCTGTCACTGGCCCAATGAATAATTGATGCCACAAAGCCACTCCAGCATAAAAGACTGAGGAGGGAGGAGACCTGCTTCGGTAATGTGAGAGGTGGTGACATCTTTGAGGAGGAAAAGGCTCATCCCGGTCCTTAGGCAGATGATCATTCACATAGTATGGAAGAGGCTCAACACAGAGAGGAACCGGCCTCTCCAAAACAGAAACCATCTTGCCCCCAGAGAGGCAACAGACTGGGCACAGATGTGGAAAAGTTTCTGTCTTGAGTTTTATGAAGCAGAGCCTTCAGCCTGGGGTTCTTCTCTCCCTGGGAAATGCTTTACATATTGCTTCCTCTCTGAAACTCTATGGAGTTTCAAGCAAAAGTTTCTTCCTTATCAAACCACTGCCTACACCTTCACCAAACTTCAGCCGAAGCAAAGGAATGTTTTCCAAGGAATAATTCCCAACCCTCTTCCGCATGCTGCAGACAGGATTTCCAGAAACATCCTCTGCCCTCCTGCACACACCCCTAACTTTTGAACCTAGAGGCAAAGCTTACATTCAGTTTGAGAGAGAGGGAGAGGTCTCAAAGACTGCAGCTCTCTGGCCACAGGCACCGCATGGCAGGGGAGAGCCATCCCACTGCCAGTAGCAGCAGCAGTGCCCAGTCTGCCACACCCTGCTTTTTACCCTCCAAAAAAGTGCACGAGGCACTTTGACATTGTATCGCTGTGATATTTAAGGTCACTGATCATCTCCATTTACAAGTTTCCTCCCCAGGTATAAATCAACCCAAGTAAAGCAGTATGCTGGATTTGCAGCTCAGCAGTCAGCTTGGCCCCTTTCTGCCAAGTGACTTAGCGAGGTGCTAGAGGTCCTCAGCACTGATGGTCCTCGAGCATCAATATCAAAATTCCCTGTTGTCTCCCCTGGTCCTTCTGCTTTCCTGCTTCCTCCCACAGAAAACAGAGACCTATCTGGAGAACTGGTGAATGCCTGGCAGCCAGACAGATGTCTGAAAGGAACTGTACGTTGGTCGATGTCATGTTGTCCTCTTCCTTGGTCATCGCTTCACTTCACTCAGTTGAACACTTAGAACTGCAGAAAGCAGAGCTGGTCTACACTCAGCAGTGTCAGACCCCGGAGTTTCTTTGGTGCCAGGATTTCTCCTTGTCTCTCCTAACAGATGCACCAACATTTATTTAGCAAAAGAGAGGCTGACAGAGTCCCTCTTTGACACAGTTCATGCCTTGCTCTGCTGCGCAGAATGGCTGCAAAGGAAAACTCGCCCTCGGGAGTTCCTGGTTCTCTAGCTTGGGCAGTGCCAGACAGACCCTGCAGAGGCACAATGAAAACAGAAGCAAGCTGCATTTGTTGATGATTGCCAGTCCAAAACTCACAAAATCAGGACTTAAATCAAAGCAATTTTGAGAAAAAAAGGCTTGGCAAAAAAAATTATGCTCTACAATTGATGAATAAAGGGGACTTGGTTCATGAAATAAAACTGCAGTTTGGCATTTTGTTTCTGAAGGGCACAACCATTTTTCTCTATCAGAGGCATCTTTTAAAAATATAAATAAAACAGAAATTCTCAAATAAGCAGACAACCAAAGGAACTGGTAATTTAAGGAATATACCAAGAAGCAGGAGACTCATGATAAAGTTGCAGAAGTTTGTAATACTGTGTGCTATCAGTACAGCCAGAAAACTAGAGCTTTAGTATCTTCTTATGCAGTTGGTTCAACAGCATTTGTGCAATATCCAATATATTTTCATCTACCTTTTTGTCTATGGTTCAGTTTCACTCAGCACTGGTGAGCTTTTCATGTTACCAGGCATACTCGTTTCTCCAGATAACTGCTACATTCCTTGCCCTTGCTGTTGACATCCCTCCTCTCTCTTTTAACATCCAAAGGAACAATTATAGATGTGTCTACTCGGTAGCTAACTGAAAAGCTCTGGAATACTGTGACATGTCTTTCAAAGTACAATTAAACGAGGACGTTTGAAAAAGCAGCTAGTCCTTTAATCAAGAATAAGTTTCTCCACAGAGCTGAACTCTGAATGACCCTCAAGAGAGAGTAATTACTGTGATAGAGGCAGCAACAATGGGAGAAGCATGATTGAACACTAAACATCTGGTTTCAATTTCTCTTAACTGAGGGGCAGCAGACCAAATCTATGCTGGGGTCAGTGCTTTGCATCCCACTACGTGAATCTAGAGCAGCAAAGGGTGCAGTGCTGACATGGTTCTTTCTTCTCTCACTGCGCAGCGTTAACTCACACAAGGTGATGGAAGGGAGGTGTTTCATAAAAGGATTGCTTTCGAAGGCTGAAAGCCTCTTGAGCAAGATAGTCAGCAGTTCATGAGACAGGGCTGAGAGTGATTCCATAGCAAAGGCAAAGCCGTTTCACTGCTGTTGAAGAGTGCCCTCTGCTTATGGAAATGAATCCATTCCATACCGGCTTATATTCAGTGATGGTGGGAGAAGTAGGGAGCCTCTGCCTTCCTTCGAGACCCATGGCCGCTTCTGCCCACTCCCCGCTCTGGCACGCAGAGGCATTGTTTTTCAGGAGAGGAATGGAGGCAATGCCATGACTTGTCCACACAAGGAAAATGAGGGCCCTGTCTTCGCTCTCAGCTTCAACAGTGGGGTGTCTGAAATCTAGGCAGCTGATTTGAAAGTCCCCGGGGAACCAGGACCACGGCCACAACTCTCCTACAGGCACACATGCCTTCACATGCTGGCAAGCTCTAGCCACAAGCAGCCAGGAGTGGCTTTTCTGGACAAGACTGCAAGGTGATTCTTCAGCTGAAAAGCACTATGTGCCAGGACAGGCTTCAAAAGCACCAAAGGGCTGCTCTGAATGTAGTTCAGTCCTGGCAGTACAACTGGATTAGCAAAGATCCTCCCTCTGGTCCCTCCGAGACAACCACACTTCCTCTGCTCTTCACAGTAGCCTGGAAGGAGCTCATGACTATCTACTTTAAATAAGTTTAGCACTTACTGCAGAAGCACCTTTCAGGAAATTCAGTCGGAATAGAGGTATTAGTAAACACAAATCCTCAATCTAGGCATTGAGCTCTCTGCAAAGCACAGTTCTAGATTTATTTGGAATAGAGAAACAAAACCAAAACCAAGAACAAAAACTAAAAAACAGGAAGCAAATGCTGAGCCCTGTTCAGTCACCGGCAGTCACTTTTAGGAATTAAATGCCAAACAGCTCTCAAGACTGATCTCAATAAGGTCAACGATTATCACTCTGCAGAGAGCGATTCCTATGAGATGGAGGTGAGGTGGGGAGAGCTACCTGGCTCTCTCTGCTGAGTCCAACGCTGCTCACATCACTTATGGGATGACAGCATCACCCCCTTTCAATCCCTTATACCAATGCAGAAGATAATCTGCCTCTAAGAAATGGGTATTCGCATACAAACATCTGCTTTAGTAATTACTGATGTCAACCTGCCTCTGTGCCCACACGGGAAGGCATTATTGTTTTACAGGCAAGCAGTAAACAAAGTAATTGCCAGCAGAAAAGCTGCATTTCAAATAACTGCAAGCAATCAGTTACGGTC